CCTGTTTCACACATACACACCTATCCCATTTTCTAATATACACAAAATGGTGGCAATACACTATTCTGCTGTGTATAAAGAAAAGCCTCCTCTCACTGCAGCTATTAAATACTGTACTGGGAGCCCTGGCCAGAACAATTAGACAAGAAAAAAAAAAAAGGTATCCAAATTGGGAAGGATAAAGTAAAGTTATCCCTTTTTGCAGATGACATGATCCTATACATAGAAACCCCACCCCCAAAGGAGTCACAAGAAAGCTACTAGAGCTCATAAATGAATTCACCAAAGTGTCAGGGTACAAGATCTAAACACAAAAGTCAGTTAGGTAAAGGCAGCATCAGATGCAGGTGAAGTGCACACAGCCTGACCAAGGTAAACAATGTCACTAAGAAGTGCCCAAGAGAAAAATTCATTTTTGGTAAAGGACATGAAAAATATAATTTTGCAACACCAACAATTTCCAAAAAATATGTGTGTGGGTACACAAATGTGTATATAGGCATATATGTGTATGGGTAAAAACATGTGGGTACATATGTGTGCACAGACAGATGTGTCTTTAGGCATATGTACGTACAGATACATGTGCATACGCAGGTATATCCATATATAATAAATCATAGGGGACACAGTTACAGATACTTCTTAGACATAGTCAATCAAATACCTCACAAGATTGATTTTCTGGGTTTGAAGGTTTAGGACCACAGTCTCATGGGACAATTCAGTTAATTGGGATACTATAGCTCATTAAATGCATGTTCTACATCCCAATTGGTGAATAGTGTCTGGGGTTAAAAGCTTGCAAGCGGCCAGCTGAGATACAACTATTGGTCTCTAATTCAGCTGAAACAAAAGAGAAAGAAGAAAACCAAAGTCTCAGAGAAGAAAGTAGTCTACAGGACTAATAGTCTACATGAACCATGGCCTCATCTACCCTGAGACTAGAACTAGATGGTGCCTGGCTACCACTACCAACTGTTCTGATCAGAGCCACAATAGACAGATCCTGATAGAATGAGAGAAAAATGTGGAACAAAACTTAAATTCTTAAAAAAGTCCAGACTGGACTAGTTGAGACTAGAGGACTCCCCCAAACGGTCTCTTTAAGCCTTAAACTAAAAATATCTCTTGAGGTTGCCTTTTAGCTAAATAACAGATTAACTCGTAAAATAAAGAATATCACCCATAAGTAATAAACTCCTTTTAAAAATCATCTATATGAGACCAAAAGGTCAGAAATTACTCTAAAGCAAAGATGAGAAGGTAAGGGGGCAGGAAACTAGAGTACTGGAAATGGTACAGTCAGAATGGAATGATTGAGAATGATGACACACTGTGAAAAATGTAACCAATATCCCTGAATAATGTGTAGAAATTGTTAAATGGGAATCTAATATGCTGTATAAATGTTCACCTTAAACACAATAAAATAATTATTATTATTTTTTAAGTCAGGTTTTTATACAATAGCAGTGAACAATCTGGAAAGGAAATTAAGAAAACAATTCCATTTATAATAACATCTAAAAGAATAAAATACCTAAGAATAAATTTAACTAGGAAGGAAAAAGACTTGTAAATAGAAAACAATAAAACATTACTTAAAGAAATTAAAGGAGGCCTAAATAAATGGAAAGACATACCATATTCACAGAATGGAAAACTTAATATTGTTAAAATGTAATGCTACCCAATAAGACAGTACACAATACTAGGGAAGTCAGCATAGAGCTTCACAGACACATCCAATTGCCCTGAGAGACCGAGCTACTGGGCTGAGGGCTGGTGACCAAGGTCTTGGAGGACATCTAACTCAATTGGTATAACATAGTCTATTTAAAAAATGTTCTACATCCGACTGTGGTGAGTAGCAACTGGGATCTTAAAAGCCTGCAAGCAGTCATCTAAGATACATGTACTGGTCCCATTCCAGCTGGAGCAAAGGAGAATGAAGAAGACTAAAGACACAAGGGAAAGATTGATCCAATGGGCTAATGGACTACAACTACCACAACCTCCACCAAACTGAGCCCAGAAAAACTAGATGGTGCCTAGTTACCACCACTGATTGCTCTGGCAGGAATCACAGTAGAGGGTCCTGGACAGAGTGGGAGAAAAATGTAGAACTAAATTCAAATTCACACACATATAAAAAAAGACCAGGCTTGCTAGTCTGACAGAGACTGGAGAAACCCTGAGAGTATGGCCCCTGGACACCCTTTTAACTCAGTACTGAAGCCACTCCTTAGGTTCACCCTTCAGCCAAAGATTAGACAGGTCTATAGGGCCAACAATAACACATATGAGGGACGTGCTTTGTAGTTCACTCATGTATATGAGACTAATGGGCATATCAGCCCAAAAGCAAATATGAGAAGGCAGGAAGGAACAGGAAAACTGGATGAATGGAAATAAGGAACCTGGGGTGGAAAAGGTGAGAGTGTTGACACATTGCGGGGTTGGCAACCAATGTCAGAAAACGATTTGTGTATTATCTACGTAATGAGAAACTAATTTGCTCTGTACACTTTCACCTAAATCACAATTTAAAAAAAAAAAATTTAATAACTACCCAAAGCAATCTATAGATTCAACATAATCCTCAACAAAATTCCAACAGCCTTCTTTATAGAAATGGGAAAGCCAATCCTTAAATTCTTATGGAACTGCAAGGGGTCTCAAATAGCTAAAGCAATCTTGAAAAAGAAGAACAAAGTTAAGAGGACTCACATTTCCCTATTTCAAAGCATACTATAAAGCTACAGTAATCAAAACAATCTAGTACTGGTATAATGATAGACATATAGACTAATGGAATAGAATTGAAAGTGCAGAAATAAACCCATACATCTATGGTCAGTTGATTTTCGACAAGGGTGCTAAGTCCATTCAATGAGAAAAAGAATAGTTTCTTTAGTAAATGGTGCTGGGACAACAGGATTTCCCAAGCAAAAGAATAAACCTGGACCCATACCTCACACCGTATATGAAAACTTAAAATGGATGAAGGGCTTAAATGTAAGAACTGAAACCATAAAACTCTTAGAAGAAAACACAGGGGTAATGCTTCTGGACCTAGTTTTTAACAGTGGATTCTTCGATATGACACTGAAAGCACAAGCAGTAAAAGACAAAATAGATAAATGGGACCTCATCAAAATTAAAAACTTTTGTTCATCAAAGGACTTTATCAAATGAAGAGACGACCTACAGATTGGGAGAAAATTTTGGGGAACCATATATCTGACGAAAGTTTAATATTCAGAATACATAAAAATCCCTACAACTTAACAACAAGAGACAAACAACCCAATAAAAAAATGGGCAAAGGACTTGAATACACATTTTACTGGATGAAGAAATACAAATGGCCAATAAAACCTGAAAAGATGCTCAACATATTAGTCATTAGGGAAACGGAAATCAAAACCACAAGGAGATGTTACATCATGCCCACTAAGATGGTCATGATTTAAAAAAAAAACAAAAAACAGAAAATGACAGGTGTTGGCAAGGATGTGGAGAAATATGATCCCTCATCCATTGCTGGTAGGATTGTAAAATGACACAGCCACTGTGGAGAACAATCTGGCAATTCCCCAAAAAGTTAGACATAGTATTACCATACAATCCAGCAATTCCACTCCAAAGTATATACTCAAAAGAATTGAAATCAGGAATACAAACAGATACATGTACACCAATATTCATTGCAGCACTATTCACAATAGACAAAAGATGGAAACAACCTAAATGCCCAGCTGAATGGATAAACAAAAGGTAGTACATACATATAATGGAATATTACTCAGCCATAAAGAGAAATGAAATCCTAATACATGCTACAACATGGATGAACCTGGAAAATATCATCCTGAGTGAAGTCAATCACAAAAGGATAAATATTGTATTATTCCACTTGTATGAAATCTCTAGAATAGGCAAGTGCTACGGATTGAATTGTGTCCTCAAAAAATATATGTTGTAAATCCTAACCCCTATAACTGTGGTTATAATCCCATTTGGGAATGGGTTTTTTGTTATGTTAATGAGGCAGTATTAGTGTAGGGTGTGTCTTAAATCAATCTCTTTTGAGATCCCAAAGAGCAGATTAAGCAAACAAGCAAGCACAAACCGAGGAGAAGATCCATGCCACATGATCACCAAGGACTTCCCCCAGAGCGGACAGAGAGAAAGCCTTCCCCTAGAGCTGGCGCCCTGGATTCAGACTTCTAGCCCCCTAAACTGTGAGAAAATAAATTTCTGTTCATGAAAGCACCCACTTGTGGTATTTCTGTTATAGCAGCACTAGATAACTAAGACAGCAGTCTACTAGTGGTTGCCAGGGGTGGATGGGAGGGAAGGGAAACAGAGTCTCATTTCTTAGGGGACAATGGGCTTCTGATAAGGGTGATAAAAATTTGGAAACAGATAATGGTGATGGTTGCACAACATGATGAACATAACGTCACTAAATTGTACACGTGAAGAACGTTGAAATGGCAAATGTCGTTACATACATATTTACCACAATAAGAAAAAGGAGCTGCTTCTTCACTTTATTGGTTGCCTAGTATTTCAGGGTGTCAATGTAGTATAATTTAACAGTCCCCTGTTAATGGCTATTTAAGTGACCTCCAATCTTTTGCTATTTCCAACAGTGCTGGAATGAATATCTTTGTTCAAATATCTTAACGTGTGAGTATATCTTTGGGATAAATTCCTAGAATGACATTCAAGCTTTTTTAATCTTCACACCAACCCATCATGCCAGTTTATAAAAGAGAAAATGGAGGTTCAGGAAGGCAAAATGATTAGCCCATTAGAATCTGTGTCTTGAGCCAAAGAAGTTTATTTGTAGGACGAGGTTTCTGGGGATGCGAATGGTTCCTGGTTTGGTAAGGCCATAAAGCCTGCTCCCCTCGCTAAAGGACACGTCTGCCTGGAAAAGGGGCCTCTGTCACCGGGAAGGCCAAAGGAGAAGGTTGCTATGATTTCTAGGAGTGGCCTCTGGAAACTCCTGACACCAAGCCACTCTGGAGGTGGTCCACATTGGTGCACAGAAGGGGCTGCAGGCGGGTTCCTTGTTTGGGAAATCGTTGGGTCAGGAGCTTGATCTCCCAAAGGTTTCTCTGGGGCAGCAGCCGCGGCTGCGGCGGGGAGGAGCACAGCAGTGAGGGGTACCCTGGAAACTGAAGCCTAGGAAAGAGCCACACAGCCCTCAGTGGGTGGCCGCAGCAGTGTGGGCTTAGGACAGTCCTCCACCCACTGCCACCCTGACCCTTCCCGGGCATCCTCCCTGCTCTTCACACCTGCTCCTCTGGATTTCTTGGTTGGTGGTGCCTCCATCCACCCAGACGTCCAAGCCAGAAACCTGGAAGGCCCCTTCTCCTGTGCCCCCAGCCCCATACTCACATGGTCCCTGAGCACTGCCCACTCCCTGACTGACCAGGAGTTATCTGAGCGCATGCCAGTTGGCATGCCTTTCCCCATGTCAGCCCACACCTGCTCACCTCACCTGGGCCTGCAGACCATCGCACCTCCTAATTCACCTTCTGTCTCATCTAAGTACAGTTCTGATCAGGCCACCCTCTTGCTTCCCAGTCTCCAATGGCTCCCGTTGACCCTCAGATACAAATTTGGCACCCTTGGCGACCTAGCCCCTGCCCGTGTCTAAACAATCTGGGACAAGAGCACCTCACAGCCTCTGAATGGGGCACTCCCTCCTGCAGCAGGGCATGAACACCTGCCACTGCACTGCCTGGAGCTCCTTCCTTCCACTGGGCCTGCTTCTCACCAGCCCCATTCCCCTTTCTGCCCTGTCCTGGGTTTCCTGTGTCCCACTTCACCCACCCATTCCCCACCCTCTCTGCCCAGCTCCGTGCCCTGGGAGGCTGTCTTTGGCATCACCCAGCCCTGGACCCTTGGTTTAAAAAAAAAAAAATCAAACCCACTGCCGTCGAGTCAATGCCGACTAATAGTGACCCTATAGGACAGAATAGAACAGCCCCATAGGGTTTCCAAGGAGCAGCTGGTGGATTCGAATTGCTGACCTTTTAGTTAGCAGATAACTGCTTAACCACTGTGCCACCAGGGCTCTGAGCCCCTGGTTAGAGCTGGCCAATCACAGACCCTGAGGAGAGCTCAGAGGGCGAGAGGAGGGGACAGGGCTTGTCCCTTGTCCTCCACTGCGGAGCTCACGGGCAGTGGGGCTGGGGACCCAGTGGAGGTCGGCTTCCTGCTATGGCTGCGCCCTGGAGCTGCGCCATCCCTGGTGGGCTCCCCTACTTCCCCTACTCTCTGCACATGGCAAGTTCTCTGGTTACAGCCCTTTGAGTGGCCCCTGACACATTAGCTCACCGCTTGGGTTCATCCTTTGGAGAGCTCTTCATTGACCCTGCCTGCCCCCACCTCCCCCGCCCCCCATCACAACCTTCCAGTTCAGAGATTTGGAGCAAGAGCCTGGGTTGCGATGTTGCTGCCCACCCAGCGAGGGAGGTGGCAAGACTTGGGGCACAGGGCCAGGGCAGAGTAGTGCCAGGCATGGTTGTGTGTCTTGGTGTATGTCTGCTTCTCTGTCTGGGTGTCTGTCTGTGCACGTGTGTATACTGTCCTTCTGGGTGTCCAGTCAGGGAAGTGTGGCATCACTGGGACTTGTCAGAGGTGACATACAAAGTACCAAACAATGAGCATCCGACCAAGGCTGTCAGGGCAGGGCTGGGGGACTCAGAGGCTGGGCAGAGGTGGGTCCCATGCCCATGTGGAGTCTGAGTCTCCTCTCTCTGTTTAGGAGTGAGGGTATGCACCTGTGGGTCTCTAGTTCTCCACGGGGGCATCTTTTGTAGGGCATCTGGGTTTGGTCCTGCAGTGTTGCTTCTGCGGGGCATGGGGAAGAGGGGGTGACTGTGTGTAGGCGCATCTGTGTGCACGTGGCCAGGTGAGGGGCAGCACCCATGCTCTCACCTGCCAGCAACCCCACCACCATGCCACCAGAGGCTACACTGGGTATAGGAGCTGGCTGGCTCCCCCTCCGCCTTTGCCTTGGATGTGTGGAAGGACTTCAGCCAAGTTCTGCCCTCTCAGGCCATGGACCCTGACGCCACTCCAGGGAGACCAAAGCCCTCTCTGCCTTCAGGGTCCTAAAGCTGCCTTGCTGTGGGAGGAACTGCTGGAATTTGGTGTGTCCTTTCTCAGCCTCAGTGTCCTCAGCAGGAGGGGGATATGAGCCCTAGGCTGGGTGTGCACGTGGTCAGCGTGGTGTGACTGTCCTGGCTGAGCACAGGTGACTCACCCTTTGTCTGGAATGGACCTCGTTGGCACCAACCCCCTCTGCAGGGGCAGCAGCTCCCTCGGTGTGTTGTTAACTGTCATGACCTCCGAGGTCTGTGGGGGCTCTGGGCCAGGTTCCGTCAGCCAGCTGAACCTACAACAGGCCCCCGGGGGCATCTTTAGACCACCTGCAGCTGCCAGCCACATAAAAGCAGCTCCCACTCATCTGGCACTTTCTGTTTGCCAGGCAATGTTGCTTTACAAACATCAACCCATATATGGTACTAGCTCACAACCATGCTACGAGGTGGGTATTGTTACCCCATTTTACAGAGGAGGAAACTGAGTCACAGAGAAGTTAAGTGACCTGCCCAGGGTCGCATGGCTAGGAAGTGGAGGAGCTGGGATGTGGGCCCAGGCAGCTGGCTCCAGAGCCACGTTCTTAGCTGTTGCAGCCAAATAGCCTGAATGAGTGCCCCCATCCCCCAAGCCTTAACCTCCCCAAACTTTAACCCAGGGCCCAGATACTGCATGGAATGTATGTACTACTTTTGGCCTCAGGTGACAGCTGGGACAGGGTCTCCTGAGGTGAGGATGAGGACAGGTGTTCAGCTTGGCCTGCTACAGGTACCCAGTGTCGACATGGCAGTCCCCGTGGCCTGAGGGCCACTATGTCCCTCCTCCTCTGCCGGCTCAGCTCCAGGGTTGAGGGGAGGGGACTGAGGCAATCCTGGGTTCCAAAACGAGACAGACTTGGTCTGGAAGACCCAGGCTTTCCAGATGCCTCCCTAGGAAGATCAGGCACCCAGAGCAGTCACTAGGTGTCCAAAGATGACCCAAGGGCTCCCAGTTGATGCCACATCCACCAAAACCAAGGCCCAGGCCACACAGCGATGCAGGCTGGATCACACCCTTGTGAGCTGACCACAGCTGCACATCTGTTCTAGCATGGGGCACCTACTTGTCCTCCAGGTGGCACACAACGGGGGAAGGGGTGTGGGGGAGCAACACCAGGGGGACAGTTGTGAGGTCAAAGGACATGCATGTCCAAATGATGCCCAATGGGCCTCAGGACAGTGGACCCTGGGCACTCTCCCAGCAGTGTAGCAGGTACTGCCAGACCCTTCCATCTTGCCGATCTGGTAGGTGTATTGTGGTTTTACTCTGCATTTCCCTGAAGACTAACAAAGCTTGTGCCTCCCAGCACGTTTGCTGTGGGACCGTCGGTTAGGTAGTGTGCTGGTCTGGGGCCATCCCCTGGGCTGTCTGACTTTTTCTCGCTGGCCTATAGTATTCTTCTGGTACAAGCCTTTTGTCAGATGTGTCTTCAGCATCTCTCCACTCTGTGCCATGCCTTTCACATTCTGTGGCATCTTTTGATGAACTGGCACTTGTGTCCCGGGAGCTTCACACACTACTGCTGCCCAACCCAGACCAGGTACCTCAGATTTGGGGAGGAGTAGGTGCCTATAAAAATGCCCCTCTGGTAACTCTAATGAGAGAAACAGGCCTAGGGGATGCAGGCTGCAAGGGGCCCAGCCCCTGAGTTCTCGGACAGGACTCTGGAATGGCCCCAGTTGTCCTGGCATCTATCTAGAGCCCTCAGTTTAGGGATTGGGGCAGGGAAGGAGCACCCCAGACTGCCAGGAAGTTCCCCCAGCAGAGCACAGAGCTGCCAGGGGACTCCCTGTGGCCAAGAAGCCCTCTCCCCACTCCAGCCTGTGCCCTGCAGAATGCCCTTCTGGATCCTTGGAGGTTCTGGGAGCCCAAGTCACACAAGGGAGGCAGGACTTAGCCATAGGGTTCTGGGTTTCCTGTACCTGTATGGAAACTTCTTGGCAAATCTCTCCTGGGCCTTCATCCTACACTTCTTAGACTGGTGGCCCTTCTTGTGCACCCACGAGTTCATCATGGGAGGGCTTAAGCTCTGCAGCACCTCGCGGCCATTGCTAGAAGACAAGAGAAGCCATCAGAGTCTGAGGACTTTGCTTCCAGAGGAGCTGGAGGTGGCGGTGGGAGGAAGCAGGTCTGGTCAGGACCTTGAGCAGTTGGCAGCCCTCCTCTGAGCCACAGCATACTTACTTACAAAATGGACAGAGGAAGGTGGCCCTTCTCCTTCACGGGGCTGTGGGAGAGCTGGTAATGCTGTACTGTCACCAAGAGCCCAAAGCTGACTATCCTGCGCACTTGTCTATGTGTGCGCACAATGTGTGTGTGCTTATGCACGTTTTGCTTGTGTGTGTGTATGCACATGTATGTGCCTGTGTGTACTTGTGCATGCTCATGTGTGTGCATGTGTGTACGCACGTGTATATGCATGTGTTGTGTGTGCTGTGTGTGCGTGTGCACTGTATGTATTCTTGCACATGCGTGCATTTTGTGTACATGCGTGCACATGTTTGTGTGTGCATGCATGTCAGCATTGTGTGTGCTCATGTGTGCGCATGTGTGCTTATATGTGTGTTGTGCATGTACATGTGTTATGCTTGTGCTCATGTGTGTACACATGTGTACGTACTGTGTGGGTGTGTGCACGCTCATGTGTACATATGCACACATGTGTGCTTGTGTATGCATGTGGGCTTCTGTGCATGCATGTGCAGTGTGTTTTGCATGTGTGCATTGTATGCACATTTGCTCACATGTATGCATACGCATGTGTGCACACATGTGTGCGTGTGTACGTGCATGGTGCTGTACAATTTTATCCCATGTGCTCATCATACATAGGTGTTTATCCTTCCCTTTTATACCCAAATTAGGGTGGCACTACCTCCATCCACCCATCAGCATAAGTGGTGGGTGCCCCTCCAAAGTGTTGTCCACTAATTTCTGGGGGCCTCCAAAGTGGGGGCTCCCATGCACCCCAAACTTGTTGGTGTGCCCTGCCCTCTGCACATGCTCCTCCCTGGACTGTGTCCACTGCATGCCACACCAGGAGGCTAGGCCCCCCCACCTTGTTGCCCATTCTGAGGACACTCATCTCAGCTCTTTGTGAGGCCTTGCCCACGCCCACCCCTCCCAACAGGTCCCAGCCCTCCCCAACCTTGAGTTAAGGGCATCTTAGTTCTCTGCAGTGAGGTCCCTGCCCCAGCCCTCCTCAGAGGCAGCAGAGGTCCAAGTGTGGGAGAATTCCCTCCCAAACAGCTGACCACAGTGTCCTCCTGCAGCTTGAGAGCTTCCCAGGGTCTCAGCTCACACAGACCCTGGGTCTGCTGGAAACCCAACACGTGTGGGAAGCCAGAGCAGAGAGTTTGTGTGGGCCCCAATGTCACCCACTGTGAGGCTGAAATGTGCAGCACACTCTGCCCATCCACCCCCCAGCAGCATGGGGACAGTGAGCACAGGCGACAGGCAAGGACAGCGCCGCCCTCTCAGGTTGGTGGAGGTGGCTTCTTCGCTACCTAAGGCAGCAGTGGCCCTTAAGCCTGGATGCAGCCTGGCAGAAGTGTTAAAAACAGAGCACAGGCGTCGCAGGATTGCAGAGGAGAACGGAGGTGTGCCTGGCTGCAGCTTAAACCTGGTCCTTGTCGCGGGGCCTGGCTCAGCCTGTGGCTTCATCCTCCCCTACTCCTCACTTCCTGCCTACTGTGCTGAGAAGACTGAGGACCCCAAGTCATGGGTGCTAATTCAGAATTACCCATGTTTGCCCCTGTGGTAGAGGCACTGCCATACCTATGACAATCAAAATAATAACTGAGAATTATACTGATCTAGATTGACAGAAAAATGGCAAAAATGACTCAAAGTTCTTCACCCCTCCCTGTCTCCATGCCCTTTCCAATGTGACTATGAAGCTCCTCCCATCAAGACCTGGAGTCCAGTTTCCCACCCCTTAAGGCTGGGTGGCCTGTGACTGGCTCTGGCCAGTAGAATGGGTTGGAGGTGATGTGGGGCCAGGTCTGAACCTAAGCCTTAAGTGGCCTTGCAGCTTCCACTCCTACTTGGAACCCTGCCCAGCCACCATGCAGACATGCCCACGCTAGCCTGCTGGAGGAGGAGAGTGCTCAAGGAGCAAGCCCACTCCACACCTGCCTGCCCAAGCCTCCTAAGCCACTGGCCTGGACTGACTGGGCTGGATCTGCTTCCCTGAGTGAGCCCAGGGCAGTCCCTAACATCATAAGCCCCAGGCTCATCTCTGCTGTCAACCTGTTGCTGCTTCCCAGACTGACTTGGGGCTGTCCTCCTAGCCACACAGGCTAACAGGGGCTCGCTAGTTCCCCACCCCCAACCCAGCAGTGCCAATTACCAGGGCTTGGCCCAGAGCACCCTGGTGTCCCTGCCCAGAACGGTGCTGGTTCGTGCGCGAGCTCCTCTGGCCCCAAGGCTGGTCCCTGCAGGAGGAGATTCAGCCACAGTGATCTCTTGGAAGGCGGGCATCTGATGGTCACTGGTCAGTTCAGTCAGGTAGGGAGGCCCAGGCCCAGGGTGCCCTGGGGAGCCTCTGGCCAGAAAGGAGGGAGGGAGTGAACCACCCATGCCTCAGGCTACTCACAGACTGGTTTATGTGATGCCAGGGAAGTTGAAGCTAGCCATAGTCCCGGCCACCATGCCACCACCGGAGGACTGTTCCCAAGGCCCAGGCCAGGCTTAGTCTCATTGTGACATCAGAAGCCCCTGAAGTCACAATCAGTGACATTACAGATGTGACACATGGCCAGAGAGCTGCCACACAGACATAAGTGTGTGTCCAGGGCTGGCTGGGGCTTCCAGCTCTGAGCATCCCAGACTGGGGCACCCACAACTACATATTTTATAGCCAAGATTTCTCTCCATTCGGATTCTGGAAATGGAAGAAATAGCCCAAAAGAGCTAAATTCTCCTTTGGCTACAGAAAAACTCCATTTCCGGCTGTCTTGATTTGTGCTCAGCCAAAGCCCAGGACTCAGCAGGCAGCGAGTCTGAGCCCAGTGCACTGTGCTGGTTTGGAGCACAGCCCAGAGGGGAGGTTTCCTGCCTCTCAAACTGGGGTCCACCACTTCCTTCTGGGTGAGCAACTCAGCCGCTGTGCCTCAGTTTCCCCAGACGTAAGGTGATGCAATTAGTCTCACCTTAGGGGTTGCTGGGAGCGTCGGATGTGGCCACGCAGCCCTGTGTTCTGCACAGTCTGGGTGCCCGACGAAGGTCCCATAGGGCAGGAGTTGGCTGGGGCATGGGCTGCCTTGCCAGGCTGTATGACTTGGAGAAGTGGTCTGGCCATGTGACTGAGAGCACCCCCAGGTTAAGACCACTGTACCTGAAGCAGGGCACTGGGAGGAGAGGAGAGGAGGAACCGAGTAAAAAGCAAGACCTGTCCACCTCAGGCCTTCCTTACTCTGATGTCCTAGGACTCTACCCATGGATGCAAACATCAGGGGACACCTTGTGTAAGATTAGGGTCCCTAGGAGCAAAGGCTGAGGTATGGGTTCTTTTGCAAGCAATTCATTGAGGGGGAGCTCTCAGGAAAGGGAGCAGGGAGCAGAACAGGGCAGGGGAAGAACCTAACAAGGCTGTGGTCTTGGCTGGAGCCTGGCTCACCTCACCCCTGGCACCTCGGGTCCAGGAGGTGCATCACAGAACTGTTGAGAACTCTCAGCCAGCTCTCCCAGCAGCTGAGGCTGGCTGCACCAGCCGGGTGAAAGGGGTCTGGGCGGGCCCAGAGAGCTCAAGCTTACCATTAGGATTCTCCAGTACTCACTGACCAAGTAGAGGCACCTGTGAACGGGACAGAGGCACAGCCCAAGAAGTCGAGTGGGTGGCGTCACCAAGCCTGGAGAGGACCATACCTCAAGAAGCATGGAGTGGTCAGCAACGCTAGTGCTGCCCAGGGGGGATGAGATAACGGCTGGTTTTAGGGCTATTTAGTTGACACAGAGCTGTTTCCAGCGGAGGGCTGGAAGCCAGAGTGCAGGGGGTTGAGGAAGAGCAGGAGGGGAGGAGTTGAATGGGTGGTGGCCGGGTCTGTGTCACAGAGCCCTGAATCCTGAGCTGCCTGCTGTGTGCCCAGCAGTTGCCGGCACAGACTGCCTCTTCGGGTTCCAGTTACTATTGCTGCACAACAGACTGCCTCAAACTGTTGTAGTGGCTTAAAACATAACCAATGATTTTATTATCTCTGCAGTTCTGGGGCTTGAGGGGGCTCATCTGGCTGGCGTCTTGCCTGCAGCTGCAGTCAGCCTGTGGCTGAGGCCTGAGCTGTCTGGTTGGCTTCCTCATTCACAACGGGGCGGGACCAGGGGCTCCCTCCACGTCGCTCTCCAGCATGGCTTCTTCAGCGTGGCCAGAGCTCTTACTGCTGACTCAGGCAGTGTTCCATTTTGTGATCTCACCTCGGAAGTCATCTAGCGGTCACAAAGGTCTGCCCGGGCTCCAGGGGCGGGGACAGAGACTCAGTCACAAAGGTCTGCCCGGGCTCCAGGGGCGGGGACAGAGACTCCACCCCTTGATGGGGGCTGACTAGGCTCTGGAAGAGTTTGTGGGATGGGAAATCTTGTTGTGGCCAGTTTAGAAATAGAGTATTCTACACAGGGGCTTGAGGAAGAGATAGGGGGTTACAGTCTACTATAGCTGTACTGTTCTATTACCAGTAACAAGTTGCATTGGAGTCAACTACGGACTCATGGCAACCCCATGTGTGTTAGAGTAGAACTGTGATCCACAGGGTTTTCAATGGCTGATTTTTCAGAAGCAGACCACCAGGTCTTTCTTCTGAGGCACCTCTGGATGAACTCAAACCTCCAGTCTTTCAGTTAGCAGCCAAGCATGTTAACCACTTGCACCACCCGGGTACCTTTTTATTACTTACCAAAGAATCTAAAGAAAAGATAGAGGAAAGAGTAAGGTAAGATAAAATCCCATGGTTAGAATACTGGCTTCATGAATCAATTTCTAGAATTTTCTCTATGATTGACCTTTTTTTTCTTTTAAGA